GGGGGGAGGGGGAATCGACGGCCTCAAGCAAGTCCTTAAAATTTGCAGGACCGAATAGTGACAACCACCGAACTTCGGGAAAACTGAAGTCACATGCTGTGCGTATGAATTAAGTCACCTGCAGCATGACATTTCTGCAAGCGATAAAGGTCATAAACAAGACTAGCATTAGGTGGATGCTACAAAAACCAACGAGTAAAGTGTTGTTATCCCTTCGAACAACTCGGAGTTAACAGCTGTCTTCTACCGGGATAAATGATGGGAGTCCCTCGGCAGAAACATAAGCACAAGCTACCTCTACTACGGCCGTCGTATCGAACGTTCCGAACGTTGGCGTAGCCTAGAATATAGTCCATACCCATTTACACAGGATGTTTCTCATGTTTCTTATTTAAGAAATGTCTGGAAGGCGGATAATAAGCAGAGTCTGGAGCCAGGGCATCTTATTAAGCAGAAATCTGAAATTTAAAACGAACAGTTTGCGTGAAAGGGCACTAGACTGTCAGAATGATTGCTTTGGACCAAAGAGATGACTTTTTTACTTGAAGTTTTTGTCTATCCCTTATTTTGTGACGTGCCTTGCCATAAGTACTTCGCTTTCCTAGTTCTCATTTTCATTAGCTCTTTCAGCTAGTAATCTATCTTAAAATAACTTCCGAATGCAGATTCCGTAGAGATGATTTTCCTTGTAGCAAGAACTGTGCCTTAACTTAATTTTCTAAAATGCTTTTAAGATGTCGTGGCCAGAGTTTTAAAGCAGTTGCTGAGTCAACCTCCTCTGTTCTACATGCCTTGAGAATGAAGATTGACTCACCGTCCTTTAGCAACCTTTGAGCATACAATTGAATGAAATCTAAACCCTAGTTGCCTCACTCCTTTGGAATTTTTAACGCTGACCATGGGACTTGCAGTAGCTAACTTCGTTTGACGCCTACAAACCAAACAAAACGCATTATAAACAATTTAACGCAAATCCTAGAGATAAGCGTCTAAAATACTACAAGCTACGACGATAGACAAGAATGAATGAAAACGATAGTAATGGAAAGTGTGATGCAGATTCACAAAAAACCCTGTAGCCTTTTCAGCAGAAGCCGGAGATCGAATTGCGTAGAAGTTTTACTTGTCTATATTTGCTAGGCAAACTCCAGCAATTCTCCATTCAATAGATATGTTCGCCAGAATAAAGTGCTGAAATTGAAACGTCTCTTTTAGCGTCTGTTGGCTTCAAGCACACTCTCAAAACACTGACGTCAGAAATAGCTTCGCACGAAATGGGAGACTGCGAAAAGTGTGCGAATTGATTAAACAAAAACATGCTTGCATATAAAAGTACATGCAAATTGAAACTGAACGTAAAAAACCTGCAGACTATCTAATCTTCAGTGTTTATGAACCCTGATCATTAAGAAAATGCATACGGATAATCTTTTAATTCTATACGTGTGAACAAGCAGAACAAGAATATTTACTGGTAGCGCAACGGATTAATTTAAATGACAAATTATATAACATTGTTCGTTCGCATTAATTTAACTAGCGCGTTAGTCGTACTTACTTGAAGGATGCCCGATGACCAAGTTAAAGTACTTGAGAGGTCCCTTCAGACCGTCTCTCAACAAAGTCAGTTGATTAAAATGTGTTTCGTAAGTGCCTTAAAATTATAAAAGGAGCTTCCTAGGATCGTGGTGCTCAAATTGATGCTTTACATTGCTGTGCCAACATGCTTCGAGGGATGCGGACGTCCGATCTCTCACCAAAAGCATACTATGAATTATGTACGTCACTTCCATATTTATTTTTTAGACATTAAGACCACCGAAGTTCTGAACGACTTAGAGTTCCAACTCACGGAAGACTTTAAGCAAGGGAGGCCATTGCCTCATCTGTATGAGACTGTTCAGTATGTGGCCAGCATCGTGCCAAGACTGTAAGTTTCTTTTTGTGTGATAGAAAAATTATTTTTCTGTCAAGTTTATTTCGTTTGAGTCGACCCGACTTGATCTGTGTTTGCAGCTAGATAGCTGATTCAGATATATCTAGTTTTTTCACGGTCAGTTTCCTTACACCTGTACTGTGCGACACTTAATCAGAGTCGAATTTTGCAGAACTGCACTAATTTAGGCTTCTCGTAATTTCTAGTATTCTAACTTGGACGCAAAAACATTTAGGGTTTTTAGTTCACCCAGTAAACGGAGTTGGGATACCCACCTTTTCTGCCTATATAC